GAGGGACAGCATTTGAGACTCGAGCAACAGCTGCACCACCACAAATACTGGTGAGGAGAAAGGAGATAAACGTAAAATCGACATTTAAAGGAAAGTTGTGCTTACGTGATGTATTCCACTTCTAGGGGAATGGCCTAAACTCGGCAGGAATCAAAAGTCTGCGGTCCTCACCCGAAAAAAGCATCCCTGCCAGCCCCGATCCCAGTCCTCATCGATGCTTGAGAATGAGGCTTTGCTAGCCCGGCGTACGAGCTTTATCATTCCTTGGAAAATTTGGGGACTATACAGGCGGAGTAGATGATTGATGGTGAGCTGACATGAGTCAATTTTATTCACAAAGTATCAAAGGAGGATTATGATCCTCTATAGCGACGGGTGGATTTGACCGAGGCATACTTTATACCTCTTACAGAAGTTCAGAATGTTCGGGTCCACCAGGCCCATTGTGAAGGGATAAGTGTAAACACTTAGGTATCCCTCAACGTGGGTAGTGTCAAACCTCCTTTTTCCGCCACGCCCCCCGCTAAGGGACGTAAAAGGGAGTTTTTTTCCAATTAAAGGACAATCGAAAACTTAATTACTCATAATTGCAAACTTAAATCCTAAATACAAATGCGACATATTTTTGTATTTTTTATTAATTTAGTAAATAAACATGCACAGACAAATGCAAACAATACAAGAAAAATAACACAAAATTCACAACAATTGCAAACAAACAAAAAAATGTTTTATTTTTGGAATTTTTGGGAGTAATTCTCATATAGGGCAAAAATCACGTGCTTACAGGTAGTAATGGCCTCCTTCGGATTAGGGACCACTATATCCTTGCCTGCTCAATTGCAGTCCTTTCGGACTTCGGGGAGGACATCTTCGGTGATTCAGCAAATATATCTTGATGCCTCCTCACGCCGACCCTACACTTACAAGGGCTTCTCAACCTTAAAGTCATCGGCGACCGAACAACCCCAGGAACAATATGTTTAAGGGAGGTTCGGCAACCGGTTCATCAGTAGGCACATCAGCAGCGGACCTCTCGAGGATGACCACATCGAAAGTGGTTTCATCGATTTCGGTGGTCGGTTGAGAAGAAGAAGCGACTTTTTGGGGAACAGATTTGGAAGTTTTGGCCATTGTTATCTGGAAAAAGCTTGAAAAATATGAAGAAAGGTTGAAAGATGGAAGGTCAAGTGCAAGTAATAACATGTAACATATTGAGAAATCTTGAAGAACGGAGGTAAAAATATTGGAGTATGAAGAAGAGCAGTACTATCCTGAAAAATCGATATGTGAAAAATGAATGAAGGAAAGAAGTATTTATAGAAGGATCGCGTCGTTTCGCGTTCAGGGACAACTAGCTGATGACCGATGCGTGTTTGAAGTCATAATGACATAGTTGATGGGACATTTCAGATTCTCTGTCGTTTCTGTCATGGCGTATTGGAGAAGGAATCGAAGTGCATATGTCGTTTCTCACCGTTTCCGTAAACTTACTCTCCGAGAAACGAGGGGACTATCTGTATACGGGTAAAACCGAGCCATTCGGATACCTCGATTATCGATGAAGTAAACGGAGCAGAGATGTGATTGTGAGGAACCAGAATCGAGGCAAGGAGCCCCTCGAATCACGGTACGGGCAAAACACCTGCCCTCGGACGAATCGGGGCCACGCTCCCAGGTCCAATTCGAATCCCTAAACTTTGGAGAATGTTATCACACAATCGAGCATGACTAACAAAGGGCCGTGATATCCGTGCCCAACCGGATGTCACGACGTAAATCTCAGCTCGTAACGGCAGAAAATTAATGATTGGTAAAACGGAAGATTTTACCTTTTATAGAATTGAACTTAGGATAAAATTCCCCTACTATATAAAGGGGAGTCTGATTATTCATTAGGGGGCATTGTAACATGCACATCGAGGCAATATACTTTCATTTTCTCTGTAGTTCAAAGTTCTTATTTTCGTTCATTAGTACTTCATTTGTATTGAATTAATCCGCATATTCTTAAAATCACTTATAAATTTAATTGTTATCCACTTTTGAGGTTAAACAATTAGATTGACAGACCTTTTTATTTTATTTGAATAATTTTTCTAATTTATTTTTCTTGGGAGCACATCTTGACGGCAAAAGCTTTTGAGAGGCTATCCTTGCAAGAGATCTTGTATAATGACTACCTCGTGTCATTTCTACCTCTCTTTACTTTACACGTGGCTAAATAGTCCTATATTTTTGTCTCATCCTTGGGCTAGTAGCTTTGATCCAAGCTACGAGTAAACGTATAATATTTGATTTATTCATGCAGATCTACTTAAAATTTATCAAAATTTGGCGTTAACTAGGCTCAAGCGAAGTAATGCGACATCGCTTCGCCAAAAAATTTCATAAATATGTATCTGTCAATCATAAGAAAAATAAAAATATTTGATACAAATATAAAAAATAATAATGCTTGTTGTTATAATAATTTATTTATTAACTTATTCAAATATCAATATCGTTTATAAAAATTTCTGCATCTGCCACCGGTTATCGCCTCTCTACTTTAGAATGGGTCCGTATAAAGAACGGTTTTAGGGAACTTGTGACTTTAGACTTTAGAGTAATGAGTGGCATATGACTAGCATAATTTTGTCTACTTCGATGGTAAATAGAAAGCTTTTTGTTGTTTTCCTTCTGTTTTATTTCATATGACATGATTAATGAGCGGGTATACTATTTAGGCATGGCTAAATAGCGTGCGACATTTTGGTTTCATCTTTAGACCAGTAGCTTTGTTTCAAGCTACGAATCAAACAAGTGGACCTGAAATTTATAGGTGGCGGGATATGCGAATGAACTGTGCTCAACCAGTATCTCAATCAGACTTTTGATCTTAAGGGTTTCATGCAATATATATGACTATTTTTAATATATACACACACACATACTTATATATTTAGAATTTTTACCGAAATAACGAGGTCCGACAACCCCGTTTCTCAGAGAATAGGTCCGCCTTTGTGGCTCTATGTGAAATTTCTTGTATAAACTTTTTCTTTTTATAAAAATCAATCGTATGCCTCGGTGAAGAAGCCTCCACCAATTTCAAACTACCACCAATGGTTATAGCGTCAGTTGGGATCCCTCGACTTTAACCATAAATCTCGCATTCGAGCTCTGAAAATAAAAAAACTTCTTGGTAAGAAAAGTTTTACTTCCTTGATGAAAATCTGGGTTAATTAGTTGAGTTTTTAATACTAGATGATTAAACTAAAAAAAAAAGTAAAAAGAGAGAGACTTATTTCAGACTAAAAGAAAGCGAGTTGTAACTTAATATTTAATAAATAAATCAGTAAATTTGACAATTAAATAGCTAATTAGTATATTTGGTCAAACTTTTAAAATTAGCTTACTTTAAAAAATACTTTTCTTAAAAGTATTTTTCAAAGAAACGTTTTTGGTGAGAAGTAGTTAGCATTTGACTAATTAAGTTAAAACTACTTTTGAGCAAATATTAGTGTTTCGCCAAGCTTTTAAAAAGTACTTCTAAGGAGTATATTTTTCTCAAAAGTGTTTTTCAAAATAATGCTTTTGAGAAGAAGCTATTTTTTCTCAAAACTATTTTTGTTTCTACTCAAAAGTATTTTGTTTTCTTTCTAAGAATTTGGCCAAATACCTTAACTTAAAAAAAAAAAAAAAAAAAAAAAAAAAAAAAAAAAAAAATTTTTGGCTAAAAAGAAGCTTGACCATGGAATCATTTACCTCCTTCTTTAAAAGCTTGATGGGCCCTATGCTCTTGGGCTCCCAACAAGACCAGTTCAGGGTTAGTCCATACTCTTTTTACCATCTTTTGTTTTGGGGTCCTTACAAAAATAGCCATTAAATTCATTATTTATTTTTCCTAACCGGTATACATAGATTAGATACTGGTTATACACGATTACACATATGTTGTATATGAGCTGTACATATATTATACATCGCAACTATATTTAGTTTAAGCGATAGAGTAGAAATTATTTAGGTTAATTCTTCTTTCTTTTTTCCCTCTCAAGTGCCAAGACTTTTTGAAATCTTTGGAAATATTATAACAATTTGTCAAATAAAAAAGATTTTTTCCTTTTTATAAGTAGTAAATAGAATGAATGATTTTTATTTTTATTGGAAAGAAATTGTATATCTTTTTGACAACATGCATATAGCAAAGTTTAGTGTAAACATTTTATTAATCTAGGCAAGACATGTTATTAGTTGCTTTACAAAAATAAAACAGTTGGATTTGATTGTGTTGTTAAAAATTAAAACTTGATTTTAAGAACTGATTCCACGTTTGCAAAACTACTAGAACAAAGTTCAACTAGCTCAATGACCTAGACATAGCATCAATGGATTCTGTCACTAAATTCATCAGCACGACAGATAAAATGAATTCATATAAAGTAAAATGTGGAATTCAATATAAAACTAAAAAGCCAAAGGGATAGATCAAATACATGTCATGGCCAAATGTTAGTAATTCTGTTGTAACATTTTGCACCAACTAACTTAAAATTCTAAATTCGTCTCTCATAAAATATTCTTTCTTCGTGAAAAGGCCACTTTTGCATTATTTTTACGCACCAAATTGTTTACTTTAATTACTGTTCAGGAAAACAGCGATACACAAATTGAAAAAATTGAAAACTCGAAAAAGAAACTTGCAAAGCCAACAGAAACAAAAATAAAAAAATCCTTTTTTTATTACTTGGCTTAGTTTGACTATATAGAAAATCGATTTGATTGATTTAATTTTTTTCTAAGCAAGAATCAATTCAAATCGAACCAAAAGTTATCAACTGTTTATACAACACATGAAATTCATATCAAGTGAAATATAGAATTGAAGATCAAATTACAAGGGAAGGACACATATACATACATACAAAATCAAAAAATTGCATAGTATTAAATAACAAGTGCTCTATAACACTTTATATCGACCGACTGACTTAAAATTCTAAATCCGTCTCCGATCATTCTTTCTTCGCGAAGAGGCCGCCAAACCCTCCGAAACCGCCATCGGAATTCTTCTTAGGAGGTGAAGAAACTGATTTCTTGCTGCTGATAGTAGTGGTGCCAGTACTCTTACCTTCAACTTTTTTCAAGATTGGATCAGTTTCTAATAATTGATCTTCTTTTGTTATTGCCCCAAGTACAAAGTCTAGAATTGACTTCTCCTCACTGCTTCCACCTGAGCTTTTTGCTGATGTAGCTTTAGTATATACTAATACTCTTCTTTGGGTAATTGGAATTGGTGGGGAAAACAAGTTCAAAGAAGCCATTGGAATTATTTCTTATTTTCTAGTAGTATAATAACTCTTGGAATGAATAAAGGGGCAAGGAGAAAAACAATGTTAGTATAATATATCTTGTTTGGATTGAAATTTTGGTATGTGAGTGAAGATTGTGAAGAATGTGTTTTGTGGCACGAGTTCTCCACAAGTGGCTTATCCCTTCCCTTGTCTTTATTTTTTTCTTCTTTTTAAAAAATATTTTTAGGCAAGAAGTAGGACATCACTACATGGTTTTAAGGGGATTCAATCGAATTCTCTCTTCGAAAATTTATATAGTGCGAATATTAAAAAATTTAAAATAAATCTTTATATATAAAAATTGGTAAATCCACGTAATATATGAGGAAAGTTTATAATGTTGCAGTAAACTTGAAAAAAAAACGTTCCCTTAAATTATAAGTTAAAATCACATGTGTGACACAAAAACTCCCTAAGTTCGCACTTATTTTATTTTATTTTTTCTGTTTATGACTTTTAATTTTCCTATGTATGTATGTTCGTTCTCCAAATTTCTGAAGTGGAAGAAGAATTGGATGAGAGCTCGTCCAGGCATGTGTGATGGAGGATGTCACACGTGGCAAACATTGGACCACCTTATCATTAGCATGTTATTAGATTTTGAATTCTACTATAGACTAATGATCAGCAACGACCTTTTGCCAACACTTTGGTTTTGTAGACCTTGTATGCATTTTGGGTCGGGATCTTTACACAAATAGCCGTTCATATTCATTATTTACTTTTTATAACTATATTTATAATTTATACATTAATTATATATAATTATGCACATATAATATATATATATATATNTTGGTAGATGGCTATTTGTATTAATTCTTCTTTTGGGACTTGGGTATACGCTGGATGGACAATATACGGAGGCCCAAACCAACGCAGTGTTGGGCCATAATATGCGGAGTCTAAACATGTATGGCTTTCATTATAGAAAAAATTACGCGACAAATCAATTTTTGTATTGTATTTATCATTTGTAGCTATACTTTCAGTAAATTTACCATACGTGGCTATATTTTTCTTTGTTGTATTAGTTCCACAATTGAATACAGTCAATACATATTGTATCCTTTGAATACACTCATATATACAGTCGATACAAGTTGTATCTTTTGTATATACCCTTGTATTTCGCCTTGGTTGCAGTTGATACATGTTGTATTCGTTGCGCAAATGAATAAAATTGCGCGAACAGTTGATACAGGCTATATTCGTTTCGCGAACAAATACAGTTGACACATGTTATATTCATTGCGCGTTTGAATACAAGTGGTACATGTTAGTAACAATTGAACAATAGCTACAAATGATAATAAGGCAAACTATAGTTACTAACCTATGAACTATAGTGCTTTATAAAAATTTAAATAAAATATTAATTTATCTAATATTCTATTAATTAATAGAGTTTTTCTAGTTTTTATGCTCATTTCTAATGCAAACTTGGGCAATTGGAGTAAGAACTTGTAAACTATGAAGAGCGATTTATTGTTTCTATTATGTTGCCGTAGAAAATAATGAAGTTTGTATTTATTAAAAGGTTATTGCTTTCCTGACTTCGCCATACAAGAAAGTGGCGAGGTTCCTTAATAATTAATTAATTAAAAGGGTCAAATGATCAGAAAAGGAAATCATAATAAATTATAGTAATTTATTTTATTCAACATAGAATTCACCTACGAAAGATAACAAATTCGGTCAACATTTTAGTGTGGGATTTCGTACTTTTATAAGAATTAAATTAATATATTTCATATCAAATATACACGAAGCATGAGAAAAGAAGATTGCTTAGAGATCTCACTCAGAAGGTAAAATCATTGATTTTCGTTGATTGTATATTCAAATGTCTTAATCTTAATTTTGATGATTCAAAAGATCTATGTTTTAGAACTCGATTTTATGTTCCAAGGTCTTTAAAACCTCATTTTATCCCTCCTCGATTTGCATGTGCAGTCCTAACGTATTTCCGGAAAGCTATGTGGAAAAACTAAAAAGTAATTTTAATTGACTTCGGTCAACGTTTTGAGTAGACGAACCCGGATCCGTATTTTGACGGTCCCAGTGGGTCCGTAATAAAATATGGGACCTGAGCATATACCGGAATCGAATTCCGAGGTCCCTAGCTCAAGATAAGAATTTTTTATTAAAATTGAAAGACTAAATTTATAATGGTTTTAAGAATTTGTTTAATATTTGATCTTGTTGGTATCGGATCCGTATTTTGGTTTTGGAGTTCGGTACAAGTCTGTTATGATATTTATACCTTATCTGTGAAATTTGGTGAGAAATGAAACTGATTTGACGTGATTCGGACCTTCGGTTGAGAAAATAGAAGTTCTAAAACTTTCTTGAAAATTTCATGCAATTTGGTGCTAAATTCATAGTTTTAGGTGTTATTTTGGTGATTTGATCGTGCGTGTAAGTTCGTATGTTTTAAAACTTGTGTGCATGTTCGAGTTGGAGCCCCGAGAGCTCGGGTGAGTTTTGGATAGGTTTCGGGATATTTTAGACTTCGAAAAATTTGATTTTTTGTCGCACATAACACTTGTTGGTTTCCTTCTTCGCGTTCGCGAAGCTTCTCTCGCGAATGCGAAGGCTAAGTTGGGCAGGGGTAATTTTTCCTTTACGCGAACACGTGTCACGACCCCAATTCGCCCTTCGTGAACTATCGTGACGGCACCTAGTCTTTACGACGAGGTAAGCCTAATAAATGCGGAAAAAGAACAATTTCGGAAAGAAAATAATTAAAACCGAGATAACAAAACGAAATAGTGTTTAAGATACCGCCTGGCATATAACAGTACAAGAATCTCAACCTAACACCTCCAAAATCCGGAACCCCATGAATCACAAGCTAAGAGATACAGAAAAAGCTTTATCTCTAGAAGTGTATATCAAAAGGAAAATACAGAAGGGCAATACTAGTACAGAAAGATAAAAAGGGACTCCTCGGTCTGCGGACGCGGCAAATATACCTCGAAGTCTCTACAAAAAAAACGTCTCGCCTCAAGGATGATAAGACTGAGTGGAAGTACCTGAATCTGCACATGAAAAACATGCGCATAAAGGGTATGAGTACACCACAGCGGTACTCAGTAAGTGCCAAGCCTAACCTCAGTCGGGTAGTGACGAGGAAGGTCAGGGCCCTACTGAGGTTAAATAAAATACAAGGTATAATAGTATAGAGTAAGATAGTATAATTAAGTACAACAGTAAGAAGTAGCACAGGATAGAGAGAACAACAACAACAACTATAACAGAGACAAAGTAATCACTGAAAGGAATACAGTTCAACACAGAGATAACAACCGGGGATCTCCCAGGATACCGTCCTGTAGTCCCCGAATATAAATTTTCAGTGGATCTCCCGGGTGCGGTCCCGTAGTCCAATTCATCATGCGCGAGATCTACCGAAAATCCGATCCATAGTCTCAAATGTAATTACTCAGTACAGGGAGAATCTACCGGGTGCAGTCCCTTACTTCCAATGTAAATGTGCAGGGGGATCTACCAGAATAAAAATCCGTAGTCTCAAAGTAAACATGCAGGGGGGATCTACCAGGATACCGTCCCGTATTCCCAAATTAAACATGCTGGGGGATCTACCGGGATACCATCTCGTAGTCCCAAAGTAAACACAAAACAACAACACGAAGAATATTTAGTTCAATCCAAATTTCATAACAAGGTAAAACAAGTATTTCTAACCTAGCATGTTGCACATAATTCGAATAAAGCAGTTTGAGCAAGCAAAATAATTAAATCAATTAGACATGCTTCCCTAAGCTAATAGTAGGCTTAAATTATAAGTAGTATAAATAGGAAAGGAAACATAGTTATAGTTACTTAATAAAACGGATTTTCAACAATTAGCACACGTACGCACTCATCACCTCATGTACAAGGCATTTCAAATATCAACAATACCAAATCCTAAGGGGAGTTTCCCCCACACAAGGTTAAGCAAGCTACTTACCTCGAATCGGCTCAAAATCAACCCGAAACCACGCCTTTGCCACGAGTGCTCGACTCCAAATGGCCCAAATCTATTCAAATCAATTTCATAATGTAAATACAACTTCAAGTAATTGATTCCACTAAATAATTCTAAGCTAATACGCGAAATTAGGAAAAATGACCAAAACACTCCTCGGGCCCACATCTCTGAATCGGGTAAAATTTAAAAATTCAGAGTCCTCATACTCTCACGAGTTCATTTATACCAAAATTATTCCAATCCAACATCAAAATCTAGATCAAAACCCAAAATTGGGCCTAAGAACTTTTCCTCAATTTTCATCCCAAATCCGAAATTTAATGACAAAACTAAGATTAGATTATAGAAATAAAACAAGAAAGGGGTTAGGAATCGTTACCCACTGATTTCCTCTTCAAAATCCTCCCAAAATCGCCCTCTCCCGAGCTCCAAATCGATTTTCTAACTTTTGATTTCAAATCCTCGAAATGTCTTATTTCTGCCCAGCAAATCCGCTTCTGCGGCCATGGGACCGCACCTGCGATCCCGCTTCTACGAAAAATAAACTGCACCTATGATAACTCATCAAAACTCGGACTTCCGCACCTGCGACCTACTTACCACATCTATTGTCTCGCAGGTGCGAGCAACATTCCGTGCCTACGACTTCTGGCTTTCCCTCATCTGGCCGCATCTGCGGCTGCCCACATGCTTCTGCGGCTCCGCACCTACGGTCCCCAATCCGCAGGTGCAGTTATGACAGTAATCCAGTAGCTTCAGCTGCACACTTTAACTCTCAACTTTCCGTCAACTATCCGGAATCATCTCGAGGCCCCCGGGACCTCAACCAAAAGTACGAACAAGTCATATACCATTATCCAAACTTATACCAATCCTTAAAACACCTAAAACAACATCAAAACATCGAATTAACCATGGATTCAAGCTTAAGAACTCCAAAACTCTCAAATTACGCTTTCGATCAGAAAGT